GCTTCCCGGCCGGGCCCAGCCCGGCCCTCCGCGCCCGCCCCCTCGCTGCTGGGCCTGGAGTCTCGACCTGCACGAACGCTACCAGACCCTGCGCGGAAGTCGGGGTCCTCCCCGCTTCCAGAGCGCGAGCGAAAACTGGAGGGGCCCGTGTTTTCCTGTCGGGCCCCGCCCCGCCCCGCTCACTCTCGGCCAATCGTTCCGTATCTCAGTGCGAGGAAATCAAACTGTACGGATTACGTGTCTGTGCTGTAAAGCCGAAAGAGATACTAGAGATCATCTAAACCAGGGCTTGCACATGGAATTTAGATTTTCTAGTAGCCACATCAAAAGAGCAAAAAGAAACAGGGGAAATTTTAAATTTACATTTTATGTAACTCAACATGTGCAAAATATTATTCCAAAATGTAACCAATATTAAATATATTTAGAAAGTATTTTACATTATTTGTCTTTGCTATCTGGTGTGTATTTTATACGAACTAGGCACATTTCATAGTCAAATGTGGCTAGTGCCTACTGTATTGGACAGCGCGGGTGGAGACCACCCTCATTTCATAGGAGGAACCAACAGGCCCAGGGAGGAGAGGTGATGTAAGCAAGGATTGGAAGCTGGTTAGTCATAGAACCAGGTCCTCTGATTCCCAGTCCTGGTCTTTTAAGCCACAGGACTAGTCTATCAGCTTGCTTGATGTTTTTATTTGTTTGTTTGTTTGTTTGTTTGAAGAAATGTTCAAGGTGAAACTGGAAGCTTTCCAACATCTTGCATATTAAAAGTTGAAATATTTCAAAATATCTTTCTTTTTTTTTTTTTCGTAAATAGATTTTTGAAAAGCTAGCATTTAATGAAGTAGTTTAGGATATGCTGGGGCCAAAATAGGTATTATTCCTATTTTCTAGCTNTTTTTTTTTTTTCGTAAATAGATTTTTGAAAAGCTAGCATTTAATGAAGTAGTTTAGGATATGCTGGGGCCAAAATAGGTATTATTCCTATTTTCTAGCTGAGAAAATAGGCATAGAAAGTTTATATACATTATTCAAAAACACATAGTACAGTTAAGGATGAGGCTTAAACTCAGATATATCTTACTGTAAACCTATAACTCTGTCCATCGCTGCCAAGTGGACTGACATGTAATAAAAAGTCACAATAAAAAGTCACCAACCCATCTGAGATTCTGTGGGCTTAGAAAGCTCTGATTCTAATATCTACAACATGCCACATATACAAATTAATATAATCTCCCTATTTACCTGGAAAGCTCTTCTTCATTACACCTATATACAGATCCTGTTTATCCTTTGTAGCACCAGACCCATGTCACAATCTCCCTCTTCTAAGTGCTTTTCCTAGTTTCCTCTTCACCCAGTTACAGTCTTTAAATGAACTTCAATTCAATAAACGTACTCTGTGCCAGACTGAGCTTGAC